AGGGGCGGGCCAGCCCAAGATGCTCCACAGAGTAGCGCGGCACAAGTGGTCTGGAAGGTGTGGCGAGGGCAGCGTACCAAATTGAGAGAGGCAGGATGGCGACACCACCGGAGATCACCCATATGCCGTGAGTGAGACCACCATTTGGAGTGGCCATCATATCACATCTGCGCCCAGCAAGGCAAGTGATGTGTTTGTGGCGCTGGGCATGTGAACCCTCCCGGACACCCTTCCTCGTGCCGGGATCAAGCGCGTTGCATGAACCCAATTATGTATTGATCATCTTCATATCGGACACTATTGAGCATGCGAGCAGACATGAGTGCTGAGACAGTTTGAATCCGGGTGACGTCAGGAGGGGCTGGCTGTCCATTGTTGACACCGTGATCCCATCGCGTCAACGTCGTAGTTTGCTTTGAGGTCACCGAGACGGCGCTTACAGTGTGCATGTACCTGTAGGCTTGTGGAGATCTGGCCCGCAGTGAGTCGATAATGCTCACGAATGGCATGTCGGGCTTTCGTGTGGCCATCCAACACTCTGAATGGCCCATATATCTGGTGTACTGCCGCATGCGCTGGCACTCAGCTCCCCGTCGGAGCGCCCCTTGTGCAGTGCTGGTGTGCGCCGCTGCCGCCTCTGCCGCCTCCGCTCCTGCTATGCTTCTGCTGCTGCCCCTTGAACCCTGCTCCGATGATCCCGCGCCACCACTCGCACCGCCTGTAGGCGCCATGAAGAAGCGCGCTGCAGATGACGGCCCAGAGGGGCCACACCCGAAACGCATGGCGACTGCCCTGGACGCCGCGGCGCGCACAGCGGTGAAGGCGATAGAAGCCGGCCGCATGCCGTCGGAATTTGACCGCCCTGTCGTCCTCTCGCTGCTGATGCGCGCCCTTGCGGCGCCGGGCGCCTCGGCAGCTGCGGTGGAAGGCGCGTCCGGCGCGCTCGTCCTGCTGCTGCAATCTGAGGATGACGGCGCCGCCGCCGCGGCCGAGCTGCTCGCAGCAGGCTCGCTGCACGCGCTTGCGGGCGCCCTGGGCGCTGCCGGGCGCGCCCCGGGCGCGGCTGTGCGGGTGCTCGGGGGCCTCCTGATGGCGGCTGGCGACATCAGCGCACGTGTTGCCATGGTCAGGCGGATGGCAGACACTGATGGCATGCTGAGCGGCCTGGTGGCCACCCTCCCAAACGAGGACGACCCTGAACCAGCCGAGTGCCGCACGCTGACAGCATCCATCCTCAGCATGCTCGCGATGCCCGAGGGCGCCGCCGCCCGTATCGCCGCCCTCCCCGGCGCCGCCGCCACCCTCGCAACGGCGGCGCTCTCAGAACACGCAGCGGGCGCCCGCCTGCACCCGTTAGTCACGGTGCTGGTGCAGATTACAGGCGAGGGGGCAGCGCGGGCGTGGGCGCCGGCGGCCATGAATCGTGTGATTGACGTCATGGCTCTCGCGGCAGATGACGCCGAATCGGCGGGGCTGGCAATGATAACGCTGCAGCGGCTCGCACTCGCCGGCGGCGCGGCCGCGCGGCGCATCGCCGCACACCCGGCCGCCATGCGCGCGATGGCAAATGCGGCCGCCGGCGCCGCGGACACAGTTGCGCGTGGCGCGGCCGAGGCTGCGCTGCACGCCGTCACGAGTTCCTGCGCCGAGGCAAAAGCTGCCGTGGCATCGGCGCTCGCGGCGTTGCTGGTGGCGAATGACGCCGCGTCCCGCGACCGTGCACGCGCGCTGTTGCAGGGTGCGCCGCTGTCGCTGCCGCCGCTGGCGGTCGCCGCGCTGGGCCTCGCGGCCGGCGAGGTGGCGGCGCTGAAGGCAGAGGTGGAGGCGCTGCAGTCAATCCCGGTCAACACGCGCGCGGCGATCGTGGAACTCGCGGCGGCTGTGAGGGGCAGGCCTGGGTAGCTGCGCAAATAGCATCAAGGGGCGAGTCACTTGCACCCCTGTTGTGTGAATGTATTTGTTTTGCACCAGTGTTTTTCTTTTTGACCACAAGCACCACACATGTGATGAGATGACGCAATTTTATGTGCACGCGCCTACCTTGTTTGAGCCGCCTCCATGCTGTTACGTTGAGTGCTTATGTTCGAGGTTGTACTGGCTGTTTGCCCTTGTTTTGCTGCGATTCTGAGCCTCATAATTTATACATATGTACATTCTGTTTAGAGGCAAAGTTCAATTCACTGCCAATTGCAGTTGAGGAGGAAAGGCTGCATGAGCTGAAGTTGTGTTTTGAAGAAGAGGTGCTGCCAAGCAGGCAGGGCTTCACCTCACACGGTCCGTCAGGCAGCGCCATCCCCTGTAGCAAACGTGTGCCAAGGAACCCATGTGTAACACCTGCAACAGTGTGATAATCTTGCCGCACCATCTCAAGCAGGCCGTGTTCGATGGTTCCCCAGGCATGAAATACAAAAGCATGAAGTACAAGAGGGGCAGAACAGCAACAAGGCGTGCAGGGCGAGCAAGTCTATTGCTGGAGTAAGCAGCCTGAGAGGCTGGCACTGCGTAGCCTGCAAATGTCCCAAATTGCGCGGCTGGCCCCTGCCCACACACGTACGCGCCCCTCGGCTACTGTACCCAAGCCACTGACAGGCTGCATCTGTGGCTGCGGCCGGCACACTCGTGGACTGCGGGCTGCACACCTGTGCCGTGTGGCACGTCCGTCCCTGCCGGCCCCGTAGGCGCCGCCCGGCGCGTGCCACCCAGGTGTGCCACTGGGACTCCCAGGGGGCTGGGAGCCGGCGCGCAAGCAAAGGTCGCTGTGGGCAGCACCACAAGTCACAGCGGCCACGCTTGTGCAGCTTAGGCGGCTTTGTTGCCGTGGGCGGCCCCGAGAAACAATGCCAAATGCAGGGGAGCCCCCACACTCATTAATCGTCGGCCTCCAACGGCAAGAAACGCAGCTCTGGTGACGCGGCTCTCAGAGGCCGGCAGGTGCCAGGTCAGCACAGCGAGTCTTGTGCCACTGCTGCCAGCAATGCTGCAGGCTCGGCATGGGCAACAAGGTGTCAACCTACTGGGCCCGTCGGCGGCTCAGCTTGATGCATTAGATAGAGTATCCGCTGACCGGGCGGCCGGCGCCGTGCGCTGTTCCCTCGGGACTTCTTTGATGATGACATCAGTTGACCAAAAATACTACAGTCTTCCCTCGCTACAGTGAACCCATTGGGGGTCGGCGGCACGTTCACTATAGCCGGTTTGTTTGCTATCGCGAAGAGTGAAATCTGGTAGCTGCTGGTTCGCTGTGGCGGGGGACGTCACAATTCTCAGCATTTGAGGGCTGCTTTGCACTGTATGCCAGCAGCCAAGAACCAAGCAAGTTTATTTACCAAAATCAGCTCAATGGGGCCAGAGGGGTGGTAGGCTGCCTCGCCGGCTGCCCCACCGGCTGGAAGAAGTTGCGTATGTCCTGCTGCTTGCGCTGCAGCAGGGACGCCACAATCGCCCTATCAAGCCGCTCCTGCATGCTGGCAAGCACAATGCCATCCTCTGGCGTAAAAA